CCCCCCAAACACACACACACACACCACTCCTTCCCCTCCCACCACGGCCATGTCTCCCAGCCTCTTCGTCAGCAACGGGCCAAGGAACCATGTGACTGACCCATCTACTATCCCATTTGATGGTGAAGCCAACATGTCAGTCTGTCAGATCACTCTCATAAGGCTAGCTACCTATTATGCCAACACGTTGGTCATGAGGTTGGACCAAAGGGCTGATTAATCTCATGAACACGGCTGCTGTTCCGAGACCCAACACGCCTTTAACATGGTCGACCTCACTAAGCACACAATAAATAGTCCGACAATGAGATGTTTCCTTCTCCTATTCAAGGTTGAGAGAGTGACAGAGCCACTGAAGGACTGATTGAGGGAAGGAGGATGGTGAAGCAGCATCAATGATGGCTGCCGTGCCATGCAAACAACGGATTGCTCAACTGATCAAGCTACCGTCTTCACCCGAATAGAACGCCCGATTAATATAGCTGTATCTGGACAGAAAAGTGCACCAAATACGGCTATAATGACCCGGCGTTCTATTCGGGTGAAGACGGTAGGCAAGCAAGATCATAATGGTTGTAGATAAATGAACATGCATAGATGGGCATTCCTTTTTCCAAAGAATGGTCGTTTCCATAAGCTTTGGCCCAATGAGAGGAAGGAAAGGGGAAGGGGCAAGAGAGGAGAGGGTTGAGGGTTCAGGGTTTAGGTTTCTGAGGCCCAAGAGTTGATTTAATTGTACAGTCAGTCCACTGACCTTCCCACTGCCTGGTCCAGCAAGCACGAGAAGCGGTTTGTCAATATCGCTGAGGACAGCCCGTCTCTGGGAGTTATTCAGACGCAGCAAGTAGTCTTCTGTCATACTTTCCTCCCCTGCCCCAACAGAGCATTTGCCAACACCATTCTTGGCAGCAGGCCGTGGATTTGAACCCGGTGTACGACAAGTGGCCGGAGAAAGTGTCCGACAAGTGGACGGAGAAGGAACAGAAACGGAACCAGGAACTGAAACGGAAGCAGGAGCAGCAACTGGACCTGAATCGAAACCCGTGTGGCCCTGCTGAGGGATATCAGATTGACGACGGCTGAATGGTGGGGAGGAGGGGCCAGTCGGAGACCAACTGGAGCTTGACAACTGCGATCGGGAGACAGAAGGGCTGACAGCTGAGCTGCAAAATCCATGTCGATTGCCAAGTGGCCAACGAGGAGCGTGAAGTTGAACAGGAGAGGAGCAGTTTCCTGACGGTGTGTCAGGTCTGGACGGCTGGGCGGAGAACTCTGAGGGTAAGGGAACGAATGGTGGTGATGGCAGCGGTTGTGGTGATAATGGTCGTAGGAGAGTGGAGCGAGCTACGTCCGACCCCACGTCAGCTGAGTGCCGACCAACCAACTCAGTCGTTGCAGCAGCAGAATCAGAGGCAGCAGCGCAAGTTCCTCCCATTCGGGATTCTGAAGTGCTGCTGCGAATGAGAGAAGAGAGCACTTCGCCAGACTTGTTCATAACGCCCATTTTGGGCACCACACCGCGAGGAGAGGGAGCTGGTAGAGGTGGACCCATTACATCATCGAGGCCATTGGTTCCCTTTCCCATTGGACTGCTTTTATCTTTCGCAGATACTTCAGCAGCATTTCCAGTGCCAGTTCCAAGGAGCCGAGAGCTTCCTCGCTGCTGATTGATACCCGTCTGATGACCATCTGTTGTGCCCATTCTCGCTGGACTGTTCCTCCCTTTCCCAGAGAAGCTGGCTGAGACACAGGCATTGCTGATGTCTGGCGTGAGTGTGGAAACCTGAGCCGCACTCTCCAATTGTTGCAAGAAAACGGCTTTACTACCTCCCGAGCAAGGGGAAGACAAACCATGAGTTGGAACAAAGGCATGCTCCGGTTCAGAATATCTCCGTTTCTCCCCCATGACCTCTCTTCTTCCAGCAGAGCTGCAGGTCGTTGTCCCCTCCACATTGAGCTGCTTCTGCAGCTTTGCCCTCTTTTCCTCCGGAGAGACACACGACGATCCCTCCTCCGTCTCAGGGAACAGAGGCCTTCTCCTATCACTACCGCCTGCTCCACTTCCCCCCCTTCTTTCCTTAATTTGTCTTTCGGATGCATCACCTGTGCTCGGACAGGAGTTCAGATTGGCATCACCCGTGCTCGAATGGGAGTTCAGATTGTCATTATTCTGCCCCTCCGCGTGGTGATGAATCTGGACGCTCCTGCCCTCGTTGAAACTTCGCTTGCAATTACGAGACGGATCCACAGAGACCGGGCTGGGGGCGACTGCAATCTGCACTTTCCCAGAAGCATCAACGACCTGTCTCTCAGATTGTCCAGATGACACACCAGAATCTGAGCGGCCAGGACCGCCGCCCATTTTCTCGGGTGCAACCGCAGCTGTCCCAGGAATGAACCTGGCAACTGCACCAGGAACAACCCAGGTGCTTGGACCGGGAACAACTCCGGTGCCTGTACCTGGAACAACCCCGGTGCCTGTACCAGGAACAGAACTGGCGCCTGTCCCAGGAACGGACCTGGCAGCAGTTTGACCCAAATCAGGTCCTTCACGATGGTCTACGACCGGTCTCCCATTTCCTCTGGCATGCAACATACTTGCATCTCCATTGTCCATTCCCGGCCTAACAGGATGACCATTGCTTGCATCAGGAACAAAACCAGGAACAAAACCAGGAACAAAACCAGGAACATGTGGAACAGAGCTAGGAACAGCAGCATCCAAAAGCGGTGCAAGGCGACATCCAGGCTCTTCGGAAGATAGTTCTACGACCCTGGACGCACTACGTCTTGAACCAAGAAGGAACTGGGGGACATCACCGACAGAGGTGGGAACACAGGCGTCAGAACGAGTGGCAAAACGACCCACGTTATCCTCGTCATTAACAACTGCACTTCGATTAGCCAATTTCAACAGCGGACGAGGCATGGGGGTAGCCGCATCGCTAATCACCGCCACTGCTTCAGAGCCACGGAGCGAGGAGGAGGAGGGAACGTTCTCTTCTCCCGAACGTCTCCTCAAGAAGGCTGACGGCATAGAAGGGGGAACCTGGACCTCTTCTGATATTGTAGGGTGACTACCAGTAGTCATTGCATTGCCGGCCATGGCACAAGTTTCAGCATTGCCGGCCATGGCACAAGTTTCAGCTCCTTGAAGATCGTGGCCGATCGTCTGACCAAATGTCATCATCGCATCTCGTCCGTTCGATTGACCGATCCCCTTCACCAGATTTGACAGCCCTTCGTCCGTCATCCTCGCCACCGTCGCGGGCTTGTTACCCCCCTGCTGCTGCCGTCCTTCAGCTCCCCCAACTTCTATTCCCTCTCTCTCTCCTCCTCCCAGATTCCCCTTCAACCGCTTAAGGCACAGCTCGTCTATCTCGCGCAATAGTCCTTCGTCCTCCATATCCGCCAGATCGAAGTTGAAAGTGAGGGGGGAAGTTGATGTTGACGTCAATGGTCTGCCTCTGCAAATGGGAACTGTCCATGAAGAGGGGTCCACCTTGGCTTTTGCTTCCGAACAGCGCTGGTTTCCTTCCCAGCACTTACTCTCTCTCTGAATTCTATGAGGTACATGCGTGGAGGAGGGGCTGTTTCCCTGCGCCACCGCCTCGGGACGACTGCCAGTAGCACCCGAGATTGACGCTGTCCCTGTCCCTCTGCCTCCTCCTCTTCCTCCTCCTCCTCCTCCGCCTCCTCCTCTCCCTCCTCCTCCTCCTCCTCTTCTCATCGGCCGACAATCAGTACCATGACCATAGCCAGCATCCGCTGGGTTCTCCCTTCTCGTTGCCGCGGACATGGATGTTTGACAGCTGTCAACTCCACAGACGACCCGACAATCCGATCCGTCATCAGAGAGCCTACGCTGCTTCGGCGGCGGCATGGGCGACTCGATCCCCACGCTGTTTCTCTGTGCCACCGTCTCGGGACCACTTCCACTGCCATTAGCACAGGTTGACGCTATCCCTGACCCTCCTCCTCCTCCTCCTCCTCCTCCTGATCCTCCTTTGATCGGCTGATAATCAATACCACGACCATAGCCGGCACCCGGCTGGGTCTCCCTCCTCGTTGCCAGCGACATGGACGTTTGACAGCTGTCAACACCACAGACCACCCGACGATCAGATCCGTCATCAGAGAGCCTAAGCTGCTTCGGCGGCGGCATGGGCGAGTCGATCCTCGTCAGCCAGGAAGGGGCAGGCCTTGTCGCCTGACCTCGGTCGGGATCCCACGGCTGCACGGCATGTTCCCCTGCGGGCCGCCTTCCAAGAGGCGAAGGATCTTTGAGCGCAGGAGCGCCAGAGACGCCGAAGATCCCCGCCCTCCCCGCATCTGTTGGGTTTTCCAGGCTCTCACCTACTCTCCCAAACACAGTGCCATCGGCACCGACACCTCCTCCCATCATCGACTGTGAGCAAAAGAGCACCTTTTTTGCTCGTCCCCATGCGGGATCGTCCGCTGCTGCTCCACCCGCCTCCTCCCTCCCAATTGCGCCCCCTGCTGTGGCAGTGTCAATCCTTGGCTTTACAGAACAACCCCTTAAAGCGCGATCGACGGCGCAGGTGACAACAGCGGACGAAGAGGAGGAGGAGGAGGAGGAGGAGGAGGAAAACGAAGGAGCAGTGGAAGAGGAAAGGAGGGAGGACAAAGAAATCGCACAAGAACGGGCAGTTGAATAAGTAAAGGAGGAGTAGGAAGCACCGCAAGGAGAAGAAAAGGATGAAGAGGGAAAGAAAGCGGAACTCGACGACCCACAACTACCTGACGAAAGAGAACTGCTGGATCCAGTGCAACAAGAGGAAGAGGCGTTAATAGAGGAAAAAGGAGCAGTAGCGTGAATAGAAGAAACGGCCCGTGAAGAAGTCACGGATCCAGCACAAGGGAAAGCGGAGGAGGCCGGCAGGACAGAGGGAGGATAAGAGGAGCGCAGGGAGTGAGCGAAGTTCGACGAAGAGAAGGGATAAGGGGCAGAAGAAGCCCACGATGACGACGACAAAGAAGAAGAAGAAGAAGAAGAAGAAGAAGAGGAAGAAGAGAAAGAAGAGGAAGAAGAGGAAGAAAAATAGTGACAAGAAAAAGAGGGGACCGCCTTTTTTGACTGATCCAAAAGCTGTTTGCGGATCTCATCATCCACCTTTCCCTCCTCCGACTGGCTGGGGCCACAGTTTCCATCGGCCATTCGTCTGCCATAGCGAGATTCCCGCCGGTCAGCATCAGCGGAAAGATCAAGGGGTAGCGGGGATAGGGGGGGGGGTGTCTCTTATACACATCTAGATGTGTATAAGAGACAGCCTCCGACTGGCTGGGGCCACAGTTTCCATCGGCCATTCGTCTGCCATAGCGAGATTCCCGCCGGTCAGCATCAGCGGAAAGATCAAGGGGGGGCGGGGGGGGGGGGGGGGGGGGGGGGGGAAGGGGAGATTCCGCGAGGGGAGTTGGCGGAGTCCGATTTGCAGGGGTGTTCTGCTGCTTAAGCGCGCGCCTTAGCTTAGCGATTCGAAAATTCTCGGTGATACGTCTTCGCTGCTCGTCCGTGAGGGGTGTGGAGGTGCAGGTGGAGGTGGTCCCTCCCATTCGCGCCGGCGCCGAAGCTGGCGAATGCATCCCCCCTTGCACGCCCCTCGCACCGGGCGAGGAGAGCACGACACGTGGCAGCTGCTGTTTATCCATCGAGTCTAACCCCCCGATCCCGATCAGCTTCAAGTGATAAACCCGTCATGGTCGGTGGTCATCATCGGACGCATCCGTTCCATTTGCAAGCGCATTTTTCCCGCCACTGAAGTAGGCTTCATTGCTGTTTCAATTATAGAAAAGAAGTTGGTAAGAGAAAGGACTTCATCTCAATTTATTGTATTTATACTCATACTGCGTCCAGGTTCAATTCTAGACAAACACGGCAGAACGTTGATTTCATATCTGCTTTCCTAACAACTCAAGTCCTCGTCTTTTTCCTTTCTCTTTTTTTCCCTCCTCCTCCTCCTTCAAACTATATACTGCAGCAGATGGTAGTTGCTTTGAGAGACAGATCTGCCGCCGTCCGACATGGGATGTCGGATCGCCACCGTCCGACATCCGATTGACGGCGTCAGTGACAATACACACAACTTCAGCGTCCACGTTGCAACCTCTTGGCTTTGGCCACGTCCAGCATCGCCACGTCAGCAACCGATGAGATCCATGTCAGGCAACGCAAAGGTTAACATCCACGTCAGCAACCCATGACATCCACGTGGCAACTTCTTAGCTGTGGCCAGGTCAGCATTGCCACGGCCGATGACATCCGCGTGGCGACTTCTTAGCTTGGGCCACGTCAGCAAGTGATAACATCCACGTGGCTCTGACTTCTTGGCTTCGGCCACGTCGGCACTCCTAGTCAGCAACCAATGACATCCACGTGGCAACTTCTTGGCTTTGGCAACCACGTGGAAACTTCTTGGCTTCGGCCACGTCAGCAACTGACGACATCCACGTGGCAACTTCTTGGCTTTGGCCACATCAGCAACCGACGACATCCACGTCAGGCAACGCAACCTATGAAATCCACGTCAGCAACCGATGACATCCACATCCGTGTTGCCACGTCAGCAACAGAAGTGGCAATCTGATCTACCGGTACACGTGGACGACTGCCACGCCAGCATCTCAGATTGACGACAGACGTCAGAACTCCACGTGAGCATCCTACGATTTCTACTTCCGGGTATAGACATTAGCATTTCATTTAACGACTGCCACGTCATTATCGAAGACTTCCACGCCAGGATCCTCCTGCTCAGCCGAGTGCAGAGGCTAATAAAACACTTGCACATCAGGATCCTCCCGCTCAACCGGTTGTACAGGCTAACCAGTCTGCTCTACGGTTTTGTCTTTTCCCGCTGTGCGTTTCCGTCTCTAACGGACATGACAGTACTCCCAGGAGCACTTCATCGACTGAATCTGCCCGCAGGTCCTGGTCCGATACGCCCAGGAAAGTCAAAGAGTAAGTACGCCCCGGGTTCCTCGAACACCAGCCAACTCTCCGCCGGCAAACTGCTTTGCTTCCGCATGCAATCGAGCGACGAAGTCACGTCGCACATGTCGCACAATATAAGTATCACGGGTCAAGAGAACAGAGGGCCTCGCCGCACCACTCTGCAAATGCGAAAAAGACAAAAATATGGAGGGCGTATCTTTCCACGTTCTAGCGGGAGATGCATTCTACTTTTGCACATTTGGCGAGTGGTGCACCGAGTCCATGAGAAAAGAAACAGACGGCAGCAGACAGACCAAGCACCAGGGAAAAAAAAGAGCTTCACGATTCGCTTCACTTGATTGATTGTCATTTGCTACGTTCCTTTCCTCTGACGAACACAACCACAGCGAAAGTTATGAACACCGGCACAGCTTCTCCTTACACGGACGGATTTCGGCCCATTCTGCCTCTGCCTCTGCCTCCATTACCAATGATGAGGAGACCGGCAAAAGAGAGTTCAATATACTTGAATATGACATGAAGTCATTAGAAATACGTGTTCATCACGTTAAGCGGGACTTCCTTCTACACCGTTAGCGAGGTATTCCTGCGGAAACAGCAGTGAAGCACAACGAGAAGTCGAAACAAGTTCGTGGTCAGCACAAAATAAGATCAGAAACGCACCAAGTTCATAGGAGTGAGTGCACGGGCGCTGCTTCGCTTTCCCTTGTTTTAGGGGCTCGTTCGACACGCCTTGGGGCGTCCTCGCGGCCGAAGGAAGTTTCCTTGGGGGTTTTCAAGGAAATTCCCGCCATCGTGTTTCCTTGGGGGGGTTCTTGGAAATTCCCGCCATCGTTCCACCTGTCCTCGGGGACGTCGCCCGAGGACATTTCCTTCGAAATATGTCAGACAACATGTGCCCGCTCCTCTCCGTGAAATGCGGATTCCTTTTGCCCAAGGGACCTCGTGAGGTCCCTTGGGCAAGAGGAAGAAATGGCTGGGGAATCCTCGGAGCCCAAGGAATTGGAGTGTTTTCACTTTTTTTTTTCCGACTGTATCCCCGAAGATAGGTAGAACGAACAATTCCTCGGGGACGTCACATGCCCGAGGAGTGTCGAAGGAGCCCCCATCTTGTCACTCACAACGACAGGTCCGGACCTCTCTCTCTCTCTCTCTCTCTCTCTCTCTCTCTCTCTCTCTCTCTCTCTCTCTATCTATCTCTATCTATCTATCTATCTATCTATCTATCTCTTTGTGTGCGTGTGTGTATGTGTGTGTGTGTGTGTGTGTGTGTGTGCAGCGGGCCTCCATCTGCCCTGGCCTACAGCCAGGGCCTATTTGGCTATTTGCCAGTTCGGCCTGTGGGACCAGGCCATGGCCTGACCCACAGGCCGTGTGCTGTTCCAGTCCAGTCCAGTCCTGCCCGGTACCACTGTCGGTACCAGGCCAGTCCAGTCCAGTCCAGTCAGTCGGCTGGGGGTACAACCCAGCTGTTGTCTGTTTTTCAGATCATTCTTCATTCTGCACTTTTGGAGTACGTGGTCCGCGTCGGAGCTGTGCTGTCCCTTCCAGCTCCATCTCCATCTCCTGCCCCTCAACTCTTCGTCTTGATTCTGACGGACTGCCATCCTGGCGGGTCCATCACACTGGTATCAGAGCGGGAACGGTCCCCGCTCCAACCCGCCCACCCTCCCGTAACAGGGAGAAATAGGTGTAATCTCGATAGCGGGATTTTCAGGGTTTTGCAGGGCGGAAACAGCGAAATAACGGCGAAAAAAGGAAGCGTTCAGAAGCTGACACGTGGCAAAAAAAGGGAGCTGCCGTCACAAATGCGTGCGAGCAAGCGCCAAGGCCAAGGCCGCTGCACGTGCGCACGCACCACGCGCCCACGCTGCCCCGCTGCCCCGCCCCACCCTGCCCCTGGATTATATTTCAGGATTTGGGATGTTGCGGCTGCTAGCGTTTGAACCTGGGCAGCTGCTGCTCATGCACGTGCGTGGCCAGTGCTTTAACACACTGGCCAAAGCCATAGTATGTTGTTGAAGAACTGCCACAGCAGCTAT